TGTGTGTGTCTGTGTGTGTGTCTGTGTGTGTGTCTGTGTGTGTGTCGGTGTGTGTGTGTGTCTGTGTGTGTGTCTGTGTGTGTGTCTGTGTGTGTGTGTCTGTGTGTGTCTGTGTGTGACTGTGTGTGTGTCTGTGTGTGTGTGTCTTTGTGTGTGTCTGTGTGTGTGTGTCTGTGTGTGTGTCTGTGTGTGGGTCTGTGTGTGACTGTCTGTGTGTGCGTGTCTGTGTGTGTGTGTCTGTGTGTGTGTCTCTGTGTGTGTCTGTGTGTGTCTGTGTGTGTGTCTGTGTGTGTCTGTGTGTGTTTGTCTGTCTGTCTGTCTTCTCTGTCTGTCTGTCTGTCTGTATGCCGGTCTGTCTGCCTGTCTGTCTGTCTGTCTGTCTGTCTGTCTCTGTCTGTCTGTCTGTCCGTCTGTCTGGCTGTCTGTCTGTCTATGTCTGTCTGTCTGCCTGTCTGTCTGTCTGTCTGTCTGTCTGTGTCTGTCTGTCTGTCTCTGTCTGTGTCTGTCTGTGTCTGTCTGTGTCTGTCTGTGTCTGTCTGTGTCTGTCTGTGTCTGTCTGTGTCTGTCTGTGTCTGTCTGTGTCTGTCTGTGTCTGTCTGTGTCTGTCTGTGTCTGTCTGTGTCTGTCTGTGTCTGTCTGTGTCTGTCTGTGTCTGTCTGTGTCTGTCTGTGTCTGTCTGTGTCTGTCTGTGTCTGTCTGTGTCTGTCTGTGTCTGTCTGTGTGCGTCTGTGCCTGTCTGCGTCTGTCTGTGTCTGTCTGTGTCTGTCTGTCTGTCTGTGTCTGTCTGTGTGTCTGTGTGTGTCTGTGTGTGTCTGTGTGTGTGTGTCTGTGTGTGTCTGTTTGTGTCTGTGTGGGTTTGTGTGTGTCTGTGTGTCTGCGTGTGTCTGCGTGTGTCTGTGTGTGTCTGTGTGTGTTGTGTCTGTGTGTGTCTGCGTGTGTCTGTGTGTGTCTGTGTGTGTCTGTGTGTGTCTGTGTGTGTCTGTGTGTGTCTGTGCGTCTGTGTGTGTCTGTGTGTGTCTGTTTGTGTCTGTGTGCGCCTGTGTGTGCCTGTGTGTCTGTGTGTGTCTGTGTGTGTCCGTATGTGTCCGTGTGTGTCTGTGTGTGTCTGTGTGTGTCTGTGTGTCTCTGTGTGTCTCTGTGTGTCTCTGTGTAGCTTTGTGTGTCTCTGTGTGTCTCTGTGTGTGTCTGTGTGTGTCTCTGTGTGTCTCTGTGTGTCTCTGTGTGCCTCTGGGTGTCTCTGTGTATCTCTGTGCGTCTCTGTGTGTCTCTGTGTGTCTCTGCGTGTCTCTGTGTGTCTCTGTGTGTCTCTGTGTGTGTCTGTGTGTGGCTCTGTGTGCCCCTGTGTGCCTCTGTGTGTCTGTGTATGTCGCTGTGTGTGTGTCTCTGTGTGTGTGTCTCTGTGTGTCTCTGTGTGTCTCTGTGTGTCTCTGTGTGTCTCTGTGTGTCTCTCTGTGTGTCTCTGTGTGGTCTCTTGTGTGTCTCTGTGTGTCTCTGTGTGTCTGTGTGTCTCTGTGTGTCTCTGTGTGTCTCTGTGTGTATGTGTGTCTCTGTGTGTCTCTGTGTGTCTCTGTGTGTCTCTGTGTGTCTCTGTGTGTCTCTGTGTCTCTGTGTGTCTCTGTGTGTCTCTGTGTGTCTCTGTGTGTCTCTGTGTGTCTCTGTGTGTCTCTGTGTGTCTCTGTGTGTCTCTGTGTGTCTCTGTGTGTCTCTGTGTGTCTCTGTCTCTGTGTGTCTGTGTGTGTCTTTGTGTGCCTGTGTGTTTGTGTGTCTGTGTGTGTCTGTGTGTGTGTGTGTCTGTGTGTGTCTGTGTGTATATGTGTGTGTCTGTGTGTGTCTGTCTGTGTCTGTGAGTGTGTGTCTGTGTGTGTGTCTGCGTGTGTCTGTGTGTGTCAATGTGTGTATGTGTGTGCCTGTGTGTGCCTGTGTGTATGTGTGTCTGTGTGTCTGTGTGTCTGTGTGTCTGTGTGTCTGTGTGTCTGTGTGTCTGTGTGTCTGTGTGTCTGTGTGTCTGCGTGTCTGTGTGTCTGTGTGTCTGTGTGTCTGTGTGTCTGTGTGGATGTGTGACGTGTGTCTGTGTGTCTGTGCGTCTGTGTGTCTGTGTGGCTGTGTCTCTGTGTGTCTGTGTGACTGTGTGTCTGTGTGTCTGTGTGTCTGTGTGTCTGTGTGTCTGTGTGTCTGTTGACGCGGGGCCTATAAAGGCTAAAAAGAACCCCAGATGGGCTCAGACCCCACAGAGGGGCCAAAGCCACAAGGGGCCATCCCAAGACAGGGGGGGGCGGGCCACAAGGGATCCCGAGAGCCCAGACGAGCCGCAGAAGGCGGCCACCAGGGCACATCGGCCCCGAGGCACCGCTCGGCCTGTCAGCTCATACCCCCGTCGAGGGGCATCAGCGCGAAGCGCTGGAATCTATAAAGCAGCGCAGTCACGCGACGGGCGACGCCCCAAACATGCCGGCACAGCCCCAAGCGGCACGGCGAGGAAGGCGAGGCGCAGAAAGCATCGCGCCGACACGCCGAGGCCCACGGCCACAAGGGGCCCAAGGGGACGGGCAGACAGGAAACGGACGCGGAGCGAGGACAGGAGGATAGGCAGACAGGCGCTCCACAGCCAGGAGCGCTCGAGGCTCAGCCCGCGCACGTTCACGCGGCCCGAGCGCCCCAAGGCTGGGGCCGGCGCGGACTCAATCACCTCCATCACGGTCATCTCTGCGCCTCTTCCTGCACTGTCGGCCTCCTCAGCCCAGCGCAGCAGGCTCTCCTCGTCGAGGCCGTAGGCATCCAGCCAGGCCTGCCTGCCGCGATCCCGCACCTGC